CATGAATCATATCACGTTTTCAAACCCATCCATCCATTTCATAATCATTTCAAGTAATCCATCTCTCCATATTACCCAACAGGATTGGCTTTTAAACTATTCCCTTTCCCGGTCTCTCTCTGGTGAATCTGTGTTTCTCAGTTTCAGTTTTCTCTTGGGCCTGCTTCGCTGACCGGTGACTCATCAGTCTGATTTTTTCGATTTGAGTCTTTAAAATCTTTTTTCACACACTGCCTGTGCCAGAGAGATAGTCGGGGGAAAGATTTGCAAGCACAAAGAGATGATAAAAGGAAAAAAAAAAAAGGTTTTACTGCAGTGTTGTCATATCTGTGGATAACGAGAACATGCAAGATGCAGAATCACTGAAGCCTTCAAGCAAAATATCGTGCAGAAATGGAAGAATTTCAAACATTAAAGGAATTTCACAATAAACAACACTAATGTCATTACTGGGTTGCCTAATGGGAGTTCAACATATAATGTAGTCTGGTGGTTTTTGTCCTGAGTGATCAGTAGTGGAGGAAACCATAAAAGTAATTATTATTCCGAGGAAATTAACTGTAGGTGTAGTTTGTTTGATAATGATAATTACTTAAGCAACGGTCTGATTAGTTTATAATTGATGGTGAGACAAAAACCAGTGTGACCTCATCAAAAGATGATTATACATGTTTTTGCACTGCAGTATATGTTATTGGGTGTTGCATAAAAACAGCTCTATGTCACATATACCTTAATATGCCATGACAAAATGCTGTATTAGTATAAATGATACTTTTAGGGATTTAACTGTTTCCTATATAATAAAAGCAACAGCCTACATGTCATATCTACAAAGGCAAGTTTAGGTTTTGTTTTGTACCGTGTCCATGTTGTCTTGGGGCTTCCTGTATTGGTTTAATATTGACCATCCCTCTCGTTTCAGGTACCTTTTGTGTTGACCATTGGTCTGATTCTCTGTTCCTCCCTGGTGTATTCCCCATTTCCCATTCCATTGTGTGCGTATCCTTAGCTGGCGTTTCCCTTTATCCTGTGCCAGTTCATGTTTTTGTTTACATATTTACATTACAGATAATTCATATTAGCACTTTGTTTCTGAGTTGTGCCTCTGGGTTGAAGTCCAAGTTCAGTTGTGACACTAAATATAGATCCAATAGATCAACTCTTTTGGATCATTGCAGTTTAAGCAGGCAGTGACTGATTCCATTACAAATAGTGGAACATGATCTTTGCTACAAATATGAAATTAACTGGCTTTTGAATTTTATTCTGCGCTGCAAATGAGAAAGCTTTCGTTTCTGTGTGCATTTGAGCTTTTGGTTTGAGTTATCTTTCTTTTTTTTTTACCCTTCCAGAGTTTAATTAAATGGGTGAAAAACAACTGGGTGAACACCCATTTTAATTGAAGTTAGTGAATGTTATGTATCGCAGTTCATGCAATACACAAGTTACAACAATAAGGATCCACATTTTCTGAACTTGACCTTGTCCAGTTTCATTTCATGGTACCGTTTAGACATTCGGACACCTCAAACCTCTAAAAATCCATCATATTAAACAAGTCAAATCAAATTGTGTATTTGAACTGGGATTGTCGTCAGAATGGGAATGAAGATCCAACTAAATCTAACTCAAATAAATGTTTACTTGCAAATGTATTCAGTATCTTTATAGAAAATTGGATAGAGAGTGACCCTTGGAGTATTCTAATTGACAATGCTTTCAAGAGGATGAAATTATTTAGGTCACTCTTTGACCTACATATAGAAGCATTTGGGGTTGGCAACAGGTCTTCCATTATATTGGAGATTTAAAAAAAAAGATATTTGTAATGTGAATTCCAGATTAGTAGTGTATCTCTGGTATCTGTGTGGTTATTTCAAGTCATGTTTATAAAAAAGGATATTTCAATGACCTAACAACTTCATATATATATGTCAACCTCATGGGAACGAATAAAAACCGTATAAAATTCAGATAGAGGCAACATTTTAAATCGTGCAAGATTTGATGCGTTATTGACTCCGTTGACGAGAGCATCCACGTTTTACAGAAAATAAACTGTTCTCCATCTGGCAAACTGAATGAGATACCATTCGAGACAACTTGCTTAACATTTTTTGTTTTCTGTCAGTAAATACAAACATGCATTCACGAAAAACGTGCGTTTTGAAAGCTCAGATCGCACCATCTGGGGAGCATCGATTTTTAATCTGCGGGTCCACGTGCTCTTTTGCTTATATTAAACAATTTTGGATTAACATAACAACACTAAATGTTGAGCCAATGATACAAATTGTCGATCCCCGCACCACAATCTGAGGCAAAGAAAACTTAGATGTAAACAGTGAAAACAACTGATCAACAGAAACGAGAATATATGCGTTTTGTATAGACGTTCTGTGCACGTTTACGGTGGTTTTTAGACGTTGCCATTATCACAGCCACGAATACATCTTTATTTGGATACCGTCTGAAATAAGTAACCACTTTTATCGTTCAGGGTCTGGATGAAAACTACCAAAGAGTTCTTAAATTGTCCAAACTCGACTCGTTCGGCCCTGCGTCTCTCGGTTCGAGTCATGTGAAGATCATCGCCATCACGTAACAGGAGCAACGGCAGGGGCGGGACTAAGGGATTCTAGCCAATCAGCTTAATGTTTTGCGCCAGTCCCATTCGTCGATAAACATTGCGACCTGACCCGAGGAGCACGCAGTAAAGCAAAACACGTCAATGTGAGGGGCGAGCCGCGGGTCCACATTCTCTCTCCCCCCTGTATGCTGCAAGACGGGACGCAATCGGCGAGATAACAGCCCAATGCACCGCGGTGAAGCATTATTCGGTTCCCAAAAGGGAGGCATGTCACCTGGGGCGCCGGAAACCTGCTAGCTTCTCCGGCTAACGCGAGCTAGCTGTTATGTAGACTTGGGTATTTCACGCGCAGCTGACCTCCACTACAACACACGCAGAGGGTAGTAATTGTTTAGGATTTTGGGGCGGTTATCCCCCCCCCCCCTCGTCTCTTCACCCCTGTTCCCGCTGTCCTCGAGTGGTGCTCTGCGGACTGACCTCGAATATGATAGACAATGAGTCAAAGAGACACCTTGGTTCATCTTTTTGCTGGAGGGTGAGTATGTTGGTCGCCTAAATGCGCTAGCTATGCTAGCTAGCTACGTGCTCGCGGCTAACAGTTGTTGCATGCTAGAAAAAGCTATTTATACTGGGATGTATGCACCAGTTCGGCAATGTAAATGGGACATGGTTAATGGAATTATTGTAACACGAACATTTAGACTAATACCAACGTCTCGGGCATCAGCTAGCCAAGTCTGTGTCTTGGTTGTGTATGTACTCTGGAATAGACATTTCAATGTCAGTTCAGTGTGTGAATGGAATGCCCGTTTAAAGATTAAGACGTCTGTTTTTATTTTATTTTATCTTTTTTTTTTAACATAGTCCCAGTTTAAAAGCTCGACGTTTTCTTTAAGAGAAACCAAGCCAACGGCGTTGCATATTTGTTAGGAAGCTCTGTTATCGAACGCTCTAATCTGGGCGCTTATAAAGGTCACTCAGGAAAACTTGGGTTTGACAGGCAAATCTGTGTGTTTAGTTTTGCAAGACGTGATAGCTAAACTGTGTGTTAATTATTAGGCTGTGAACAAAATCTAAGTAATGGACAAATCGGCTGTATTGCACAGGGTGTGCATGTATCTATTTGTGTGTGTGTGTATATATATGTACATACATGACATCTGCAAAAGTCTGACCCCACAATCTGAAGTTAACACTCCTAAAATGTTTTTCCAATCTTCTGTTTTCTAATTTTGTAGTCTCTGTTTTCTGTTCTGAGCTGATAGGAGTGGCACCCAGCGCGGTTCCGTTGCTGTGGCCTATCTGATTCCACGTGTTGTGCGTTGGGAGATGGTATTCGGCATTACTGGGTCGTAACGAACGCTCATTTGAGTCGCTACTGCCTATTCTAATCTGATCTCTCACATCAGCGATGGGATTTTCATCCCCACACCTGCCGCTCACTGGATGTTTTCTTTTTTCCTGTTCATTCTTCGTAAAGTCGAGAGATGGGTGTGCGTGAACGTCCCAGTAGATCAGCAGTTTCTGAAACACCCGGAACAGCCCGACCAATCACTTAAATCCTTGTTCTGGAACGTTCTTACGCTTGGTTTGAACTTCATCGAGTTGTCTTTACCATCTCCACATGCCTGAATGCATTTGGTTGCCGCCACACGATTGGCGGATTAGCTATTTGTTTTTTAATTAAAGCGATTGAGACGCTGTACCTAAGAAAGTGGCGATGAGTGAACGTATGTGGGCATGTCAGCACTGACAGGGATTACTGATGCATGTTAATGAGAACCATTCCAAATTTTGCAACGTCTGTGATTTCAAATAGCAATGACAGGTGAACCATTGGATCATCAACCCAAAGCCCTGTCTAAAATCTGATGGGATAAGTGAGGCAAAACTCCCACTGCCATCAAAAAGGCTATTAAAGTCATTATTTAAACTTGAACTTGTCGATGCATGCGAGTGGTTTTACCCGAGGCACGCCTGCATCTGTTTTTGTTTTTGGCAGGATTTTCTGCCAGCTATGGATTAAAAATTAACCCAACCTAGAGATAACCGTTGTCTCTCTTGGTTTTAATATTCTCTAGTCTGACTCTACCCAGAAGTACTCAGTCCAGAGCAGTTTTATCAGGATCTGTTTATTTATGTCATCTGAGAAGGCAACTTCTGTTAAAGGCCGTTGCTGGATATGACTGGAAATGGGACTTTTTAAAGGAGTTATACTCGTACCAAACTACAGCTTCCTGTTAATCTGTGGGAAAAAGAAGAATTCACAAGTAGCTCCCGAGTTATTTATTCTCTACATGCCAGGAACGTACCGCCCAATTTACTCGTGTATGGTCAGACTTGGTTTTCTCTTTTAACAAACCAAACTCAGGATTGTGTGGCCTCCGTCTCGTTCTGTCTGCTCAGACCCAGTTGTGGTTTGTTGTCTCAGCTCCAACCTTTCCAATCCTGTCTTTGTGTCAGATGTGGGGGCACAGTGGGAGCCATATTGACATGCCCGTTGGAAGTTGTGAAGACTCGACTGCAGTCTTCCTCCATCACCCTGTACGTTTCTGAGGTTCAGCTCAGTGCTGTGAACGGTGCCAGCGTGGCCCGGGTGTCCCCACCAGGCCCCCTGCACTGTCTCAAGTGGGTATTCAGTTACATGTTTCTCTCTTAGTTTAATTCATTCCTTATTTGTTTTGGGTTTTTTCCTACATCAAATATGTGTTTTTTTCCCTGTATGGAACTTATTGTTTTCTTAATGCAGAATGGTTTGAATTAAAAACAGAAGAAAAGAAAAAGTCATGTAGCATTTCTTTGAATTTTTTTTCTACAATGTCAAACAAAAGTAAAACGCTTCCTCCAAGAGTGGCGATTCCATAATTTCTGCCGAGGGGTTGCTAACTGAGTTGAGCTGTAAAAGCTTTTTGTCCAGTTGTGATTGCAGTTATGTTCCTTACTTAGTTTTTACCTCTTTGTGAGTATTGCTACTGTTTAACTGAACCAGTGTCACTCTGGGAACACTAATGGCGCATTAAAACCCAACTTCTTGTTCTCAGTCTTTGGACAAAAATAGACCCCAAGTACTGTGTTCCTGGACAGAGGCTCACGTGTTTAAAAAAAACCCCAGAGCTACACAGCAGTTTATTGTGCTACCTGTTGAACTGGGCACGTGTTCCTGTTCATTGGTGACTATTACACCTTTACATGTGTGTTATTATGCGTCACCTTGACCTTCATCTGCAACCGACTGTCCAGAAGTGTTGGCCTGACTATTTTTGTATTCAAATATCCGCAGCTCATATTGGGCTTTGAAATGTAGGCCAGAGTTCGACCGACACTTGCAGAGTTTAAACTTCTCTTTGGTTGTGGTGTTCGTGAAAGGAAAGAAAGTATAAGGCCAAAAAAAAAGTCAATTTAACGTTTGTTGGAGAAGTGATTAGTTAAAAGAAATGACTTTTCCCAGTGGCCGAATGAATAAATACAGACAAATTGGGTATAGAAAACAGCTATACATTAAGACAGGATGTTAATTTAAACGTTTGCTTTATATTACACCAGTGTATGATTGTAAATAGCACTGGTGTTACAGTAGAACCAGTTATGCATTTGTGTGCTTTGCCTTTAGGCTGATATTGGAGAAAGAAGGTCCTCGCTCTCTCTTCAGGGGTTTGGGACCAAACTTAGTGGGTGTGGCACCCTCCAGGTAAGCTGGCCTCTCTTCTATAATCAAATTTTTAGCAATTTCTGCTTTGAACTTAAAGCCTGTGCGCGGTCACGACATTATTTTGTCTTCTCCAAAGAACAATTCCTCACATATTCTACTGATGTTTAAAATGTTTGAAAGGGAAAAATGTAATATCTTCTAATAATAATAGTAATTATTCTTGACTAAACTGTTTTTGACTTCAATTCTTGATAATGTACCACAGAACCTTTGGACTAAAGTTGCTCTCAATCATGTTGATAAATTATGTGAAGATATATCAAGAAATACTAACCAAATATTTCTGTGTTTGAAACTAGTTTTGGAACATAAATCAAGAGCATTTTGCCATATTTTATAATGATTTATTATTAACAAATGAATCCTCTTCTAAAACCTATTTTTGATGTTGATGGTACCGGTACTGGCTTTGCACAGCTCTACAGCCACCTCTTAGATTTCTTCTGCTGCCAGAAGCACTTAAAAAAATTATCTACCTTTTCTGTAAAGTCACTGCTAGAGGCCATATTATATCTTGCTATTTGGTTGGACCAAAAATGTACATGGGAATTCTTGATTGATCGTTCATTCATTGGCTCTTGTCTTTAAGTTAAGATGAAAAAAAATCACAAAGAAAAAGAAACACTACAAACTTCAAATAGCAGAGAAGTAATTATGTAATGCTCAGGCAACAGCTGCACTAGACAATGGATGACTTGCCCTTATTATCACTTTGTTACATCATAGATTTGTTCTTCAAGCGCTGTCTTTCTAAATCTGCATTCAGTGGGGAAAAAAATAATAAAACTACAGCATGTCCAACACTGCCAAGAACAGCCCTCAGGGTAGATGGTTCCACACATCTTTAGACTGTCTCAACTATTCAAAACAAACGCAAGAAAAATGCACTACAAACAAATGGACCAGACTCAGTGAATATTTCCCTAATTTTAACAATTAAACCGCTATGTAGACCACTGAGCAGTGCTGGTCAACAGGTCATTGGGGTCCTCCTAGAGTCAGTGTTTTGTCTGGTCGGGCCCACTACACCTCCAGAAGGCTAGACCATGATCACTGGTCAAAGGTCAAAGTTTTCACCCCATCACATTCTCTCCTGTCTGCAAACCTGCTCCTCTACTAGTTTTCTTGCGTCTTTGGGACCAGCTCTACTCCACACCAGTTTGCCCTGGCCAAGCCCCAAGCCTCCCCGACCTATTTGAACCACAATGTTACCCACAATCTCTGTATGCCTACGACTTGCTAAACTGCCATCCTCGGATTGCATTTACACACCTGGTTGGGTTTGGAACCCCGCCCCCCTACTAACTACCATATTTTACTACCAGCTAGCTCTGTCCTAGCCTTTGTACATTCAAAGCCCTCTACTGGACTAGATACTGAGAGCTGGAGTATGCTTTTCCCATACAGCGCCACAGTACTTAAACATCTAGGAACACCTAGCCACTTCTGGATGTAAAGTACATGGGTTCTTTTACAATTTCATAAGCTCCAATTGGTTGATTTTTTTACTAACTTCATGCCTTTATTTGACTTATCAACATTTGCCCAATGTACCACTTATAAACAAAGAGCCTCTTCAAACACTGCATTGTTTTTTTGTTTGTTCTTTATTTATTCTGTAAAAATTGAGTTAGAAAAATTTAGGTTTACGTTTACAGTGTGCCCATGGGGCGAAAAACAGTGACATTATGTAACTTCCAGAAGGCTCTCGTGGGTTACTTGGAAACAAAAGGGTGTTGCGGCTCTTTAGGTCATTAAGGTGCCTTTTATCCTCATAACCTCGGGAAGCATGACAATAAGAGCAGGAGCATGTCTTCTAAACACTAACTGCACGTCAGTGGTCCTCCCAACAGTAATGAGAGGAATAAAGTGGTGGCTAATGACTTTTGGCCTGCCATGAACAGGTGCTACTTCTTAGCAAGTGTAGAGTGTTTCAGTAGTTTTTAGTTAAGTAAATACAGCTTTTTTACCCCCTTTTTTTCACTGTAGAATGCTCAGTCACCTCCCGAGCTGGGACACAGTCCCGAAAGTTAAACACTGGCTTTTATGATATGATAAATAATAAATTAAAACAGTGTGTAATGTTCTTTACTATTTTGATTAACGACAAGAGAATTGAGTTACTGTAAGTAAAGTGTGAATTTCTATCCCTCCCTAACCTCGTTAAACAAAACATGACACTGGGGACAGTTTTAATTGTTTTGATAAAACTTAGAGGCTGCAGAACCAATGTGAGCTAATTTGCTGTTGGCTTTGGACAGACGTGCATAAATATGGCCTGTAGGAGTTGTTAGGCCTCACCCTATCTTCCAACTTGCTGACCCTATTTGTCATCTTCCTTCCAATAGAGCTATATATTTTGCTGCTTACTCAACCGCCAAAGAGAAACTGAATGGTGTGTTGGAACCGGACTCTACACAAGTTCACATGGTTTCCGCTGGAATGGCAGGTAATGATACAAATCCCAGATTACAAATTTACGAGCACCCGCCGTCCTCTCTTTAAAGGCACAAAGAGAGCAATTTCTTCGAAGCAAGTTGGCCTCATTTGGTGGAATGCTTGCAAACTGTTACTGAAGGTGGCGTTCGAAAATTTGTGCTGACTCATGTGGGAGTTGTTATGCTGCTGTCAGCTTTCGCTTTTTCAATAATTCTCTTTGTGGAGATCAAAGGTGGTATAACCAGTTTGCTGTGTTGGATTCCCGGGCCTTGGAAAGACTAATCCATATGATTATGAAGAGACTATCTGTTCAGAAACATACATACTATTTTTTCACCAATATTTAACCATAGCCTGCAAAAAGTAAGACAAGTTTGACAAAAAATTAAATTTAAATGACAGTATTTTGGGACGTTTGCTCTGCTGTATCTTCACATAAGACTCCTTGGCCTAATGGAAATGAAAAACAAGTACAAAATGGGGCAGTCAGTTAAGCCAGAAAGCCACAGTTGCAGTGTTGTTGAATCTGAGGTTCTTGGCTGTGCTATTTTGAGGGCTCCATGACTATGCCAATGTCAGCAAATGTCATTAGATATTCTTCCAGTTGCGCATATTGTTTAGTGTGGGGTTCCAGAGCTGAGCTGACAGGTGGCAACAGTTAATCTCTAGGATCTATAGAAACAGAAGGGCTTCTTACCAAAGCCTATCAAGGTTTACAGCAGAAACAAATCCATAGAGTTCTGTGGAATAACTGTAAATTGCTTCAATAGAAAGATTCTATGTTTAGGAATACCCTTTACCCTACAGGATGGGCTTTGTTGCAGTGTACTGTACAGTTGGTAGAGGGTTTCCTTAGTGTGTTTGTTTTCTTTATTTCTGCCCTTATATCTGAACCATCTCAGATTTAAACTCCACCAGGGCTTGTTAAATCAGTTTAAAATAAAGGAGTTTCATACAAGAAGGAATACAAAAAACAACACAAAGCTTTGAAACCATTTAGACATAAAAAACCTTTATTACTAGTTGTCAAATAGGTGACTCAAACTGGAAACAGATTTACATTACAGTAGTGTACTCTCTTCCATGTACGTGTCAAGACTGTTGACATGCACCACAAATTATTTTGTTGTTTGATTGTTTAGTCGAAAAACAGTTAAATGCATATTTTTAAGTAATGAAGGAACTTTTCAAATGCACTTGGTGCTAGCAATAGCGTTCTACCATGAACATCATCCTGTCTTGTGTGGGGTGATCATTTGAGCTTTTGGAATGTGGTGGATTAAATCCTGTGGGATAATGTTGGGAATGGGAAGTTAAATGGTTGCATGCCGGTCATTTTGCTACACACAAGCCTGTGTCTGTTTTAGGCTTTTACTCTACTGTAGCTCTCCTCTCGCAAGGGCATGAGACCCCCACACCACCAGGGGTCTCTAGCTGCATCTGTGAGGAGTAACTTTGTTATGCGTGAGTACTCACCACAGATCTGTGCTTCTTTTTTTTTTTCTTTTTTTCCTGGTTCTTCTCTTTTTTCCTTCCGCATTTCTGTCCTCTACTCCCTTGTGTTGGTTATTGGATAAGACATTTATCTTCAAAACAGCTACATACAGTTTTTATGAACTGTAGTTTTCTTGTTTCATTGGTATTTATCATATAAAAGTGGTTAACTTTATCTCCTATAGGTATTTTTGTAAGTTTACAGTTAATTTAACTAAAAAAATAAACAAATAGCGCAGACAAGAAAAGTTACCGATGTGGATTCAGCTTAAAGACTATTATGTATTAGCTTTACACTAGCATGCGGTTTGTTATCACCATTCGCAGCTCAAAACTTTATCACAGTTTTAACCGATTTTTTTCAGTTGATGTAATTCTGTCTTCCCTCTCCTTGTCAGGTTTTACAGCCATCACAGCAACAAATCCAATCTGGCTGATAAAGACTCGCCTACAGCTGGATGCAAGGTAAACAGGACACTGTGGTGTGAGATGTGTAAACTTCAGTGCTACTCTGAGGATTTTTGGCCTAAGCGTTTTCTTCCTTTAATCTGACACTTCAGTTTGTCTTTTGGAGTGGAAGGTGAACTAAATTATGATCCATGTCATCCTACTATTACCCCTTTCAAACGGGGGGAATTCTGCCCTAACTTTTTTTTTTTAAGTAGAAAAGGATTTTTTTAATGTAGAAAAGTAATTGTCTTCTCATCTAAAGTTTTAATGATGCTCTATCATCAATTTCAATTCAATTTTGTTACTGTTCTCCATCTGTAAGGTGTGTTTAAACTTTTTACATGGTGATTTGGTTAAGTGTTGTTCTCCTTCCTGTCTTTCTGGATAGTTGTTGAGCTGTATCAGTGTCGTAATATTTTCTCAGTCAACTCAAATTTTGCCATTTAAGTTTGCACATTATATTTTGTCTTGTTCAACTATTCGACAATTGTATCTCCTTGTAAAAAAAAGAGGTAACCTTTTTTTCTCTTGAGATGAATGATGAAGCTTCAAATAGTTTTTCTGACAGTAAAGAAGATGAAAGGTGACAGAAAGTGGGGGCAAATTTGAACAATATAATCAAACACATGAGTCTACTGCAAGTGTGAAACAAGTGGAGCAGTGACGAAGCGCCCCGAGCGATTTAGGGGAAGCTTCTAAACTCTGCAGTGCTCTGCTGCAGAACAAAGGGTTCTTTAACACTAGCTGCACCACTACGACTCAGCAAAGCTGTCACCACCCACACCTATTTTTTCAATTTTCAGGTGCCCTTGTCACATCTTGCGGACTATATTTATCAGTCTTTACGTTCTAGTGCCAATGTCTTCCAACCTCCAAATGATGCTAATCCCATGTACCAGCTGCCACCTTTGCATCTGCCTGAACCTGTGGCCCACTGCCCTAAACCATATAAACAGCGGTGTGAGGCTGCTCCTGATCCAGCTAGCTATTGTTACCCTTCATATCCTTCAGGAAGTGACTCCTTACCACTTCCCTTTGGCGATCGCCATCATCCACCAGCGACCATACCTTCTACCACGAGATTGCCTGAACAAAACCTGATGATGGTGTGATCTATAAATGGCATCCCAAAAACTATGCTGGTGTCATTCCATTGCATTACTGAAGAAAGGGCTTCACAACTCGACTGGGTTATGTACTCATCTCGCAGAGGAGTGTAGGTGTCAAATTCTGCTGGATCATTTGTAGTATCCTTGCGGCCTACAGGTAGCTAATCGCTACATTCCAGACTGCACTCCCTACAGCAGTGTAATGAGGGCTCCAGAACAAGCAGCCCAGACAGTTAGTCCAAAGGGAGCTCATTACCCTATTAAACTGTAGCCTTGTTAGAATTGGGGACTATCAACCTATTGAGATTCATGTTCATGCCTTTAGCCAAAGCAAATTACAATGCCAGTAGAACATTCTAGTTAACGTCAAAGTTAACAGTAAGCTACATATAAGGAAGTCCCCGGTCAGACACTGTTGGAGGTGATAGGGTAGCTATACAAGGAAGTACAGAAAGATAAAGAATTGTAGGGGGGTGGGGAGGTACAGGGTAAATTATTGGGTAGGAGATGCTCTCTAAAGAGCGGGGTCATCAAGAGTTTCATGAAGATAGACAGAGACACCCTTGTTCTTGTTCTTAAACAGTTTGTAGGCTAACACCAGTGACTTGAATTTGATCCGGGCAGCAAAGAGTAGTCAGTGGAGCTCAACGAACAGAGGGGTGACGAGGGATTTTTTTGGGCTCATTGGAGACAAATCGCCACGATCAAGACCATCCACAGATGTTTCACAGACAGTCAGTGTGACTGACCTGTGATTTACCATTCAAATCAGGACTGTCCTGTCCCTGTGACGCCGATATTAGACAGTATAGACAGAGGGATATTCGGTCGACTGTGTTAAATGCAGCCAATTTTGGCATTTTTCCAGTAGTACCTACTCTACCCTTACATAGTTTGGCCCGGCACGGCTATACATGGTAAGGGTATTTTTTCATTACAAGTTCTGGTTGAATGGAAAGATGGAATAACTGACATGTAGTGTCATTTATACGTGACCCAAGCATTAGACAATATTGGACATAACAGCAAATATGTACCGTCTAAACCTTGGTGTTGGACTGGGGTGTTGATATATGTATCAGGCATTTAGAACATTTATGATCACCAGGTCAGTGCCTAGCGGAAATGCAAAAATACCGTGTAGAGCTGTGCTGAGCTGGTACTGGTGTAAAAAGCGGCACCAGTGGAAAAGCAGAACGAGGACTGAGGACTTGGCTGCTGCTCTGGCTTCTTTTAACGCTTCTCACACAGCCAGCGAAGCCATTTCAGTGGAGGGGCCACTGTTGACCCAGGTTGGTTCGGGTCAAAGAGGTTGTTTTGCGAGAGGTACCTTTCTGTGACCTGCTCAAAGACTGCCCTTTCAGTGGTGTCAGACAGAAATTGGGGAAGAGAGTCCAAGTCAGGAGAGAGAAGATTTCTTGAGCAGCGATGCAACCTGAGATTGCTTGAATGTGGTACGAAATGTGCCCAATGTCAGTAAAGCAATGTTTCCGTGCGTGCCTGAGACGTAAACGTATTGTACGTTTTTACATCTGTGTGTTTTAACCAAGTATCTTACTTTGTTGTCTTTGCCTAGGAATCGAGGTGAGCGAAGCATGAGTGCGTTCGAGTGCACGCGCCGGGTGTACAAAGCGGACGGCTTGCGGGGCTTCTACAGGGGAATGTCGGCGTCTTACGCCGGTATCTCGGAGACTGTGATCCACTTTGTGATCTACGAAAACATTAAGCGACGCCTCGTGGAGGCGAAAGCCACACAGAACATGGACAAGGAAGAGGAAGTGTCTAAAGACGCTTTGGACTTTGTTGGGATGATGCTCGCCGCCGCAACATCCAAGACTTGTGCCACATCCATCGCTTATCCCCACGGTTAGAGCACACCTTCCGCCTTTTTGGCTGTCCTCGTGTGATTAGTCGTACTTATTTTGTGTCTTTATCCTTTTTTTTCCCGCTTCACTTTGCAGAGGTGATCCGCACAAGGCTAAGAGAAGAGGGCACAAAGTATCGTTCGTTTTTCCAGACTCTCACGACGGTGCCAAAAGAGGAGGGCTACCGGGCCCTGTATCGTGGTTTGACCACCCACCTGGTACGCCAGATTCCCAACACCGCCATCATGATGTGCACCTACGAGCTGGTGGTCTACCTCCTAAATGGTTAAAGTCTTGACCGCCTAGGACATTCAATCCAATTTATGGTCAGTGATATGAAGAAAGTAAAAAAAAAATAAAATAAAAAAAAAAAGGAAATCTCACCAACACACTAGCTAGCACAGCTAACAACCTGCATGCCAGAAAAAGAAAGAACGGAGATGGCACGTTAATCTTTGTCTCACCAACATGAGGGGCCTCTTTTTTTGAAGGGCATCTGGGGTTTTTGTTATTCAGCCAAAGGGTGTGACACAAGTTGAAGGTTGGAAAGATTGTTTTAATGATTTGGGGATCTGGGTTTAGATAAATGGTTTCCCTATTTTCATTTTAATTCCCTCTTTCCACTTGTCTCTTTGGAGATTAGTTTTAGTCTGCTGAGGAACGAGTCTGACTTGTAACATATGTTGCCGCTGACATAATTTATAGTTCACTTTGAATTGTCCCACTTCTCAAAAAAAATTTCAGGAGCAGGTTCCTTCTTCTCCCGATGACCATTTAAAAAAAAGTCATTATCCGCCATACATTGTTTCAGTATGTGATAACAGCTCTGACGCCCGAATGAGAAGAAATTGGTGCTTGACGCTTACTGTGATGGAATAAAGTGAAAAAAGTTGGAAAAGATGGTGGAGGGAATGGACAATGTGCCTTTTGTTAACATGTAATGCTGACTGACAAGCACAGAAGGCCGCTGGAGTGCAGGTTGACCTGTCAAAAGAAATGGAGCTGAAACATGAACATGTATGCACTCTACAGGCTTGTTTTTAAATTCTAAATACATTTTTAGGATTTCTCTCTTCTTATTTATTACCAGTGGATGTCTTCTTTATGAAAACAACTGAACTGGGGAGTGTTCATCTCGTATAAAAAAGAAGCCAGACGAAAGAAAATGAATCAAACAAAATCAGAATATAATCTAGTTCTTTCGTTATCAGAATGTAGATAAGTTACCCATGTAGTAAATAAGAATACATATATATGTATGTGTGTGTGTATATATACTGTAAATATATATATACACATATGTGTGTGTATGTAAAAACGTGATAGTTTTTTGGCAAAGGACAAACATTGAACACATTTTCTCAAAAAAGAGGAGGCTTGACATTTATTTAATCAGAAAATAAAAAAAAAAATAAAAAAGGCCTCATTGCACATTTTAATGCTTCTCAGAATGCTCATCTCGGCTCGTCTCAGAATTCAAACTTGTTTTACAGGCGAGGACAATCCTCACGAGTTTACATTGGTTCAGCCAATACGATGCACACGTCCTAAATCCACATTCATCAAATGCGTTCTCAAAATAAGTTTACTACTTCCTGTTGTTTGGTCGTTAACTTAGATATCAGAGGACTTGGTTATAAGGTTAAAGAAAAAAGGAAAAAAATCAAATTCTTCTGTTTATTCTGTTGAAGGTTAATGTCCAGGTTTCCACACGTATGGTTATTTTTATCTCCTTTAGAGGGAACACTTCTCAGTACTTTCCCGGATTTCAAAATAATTTTCCTGCAACTTCATTTTTCCTTGCGCCCTCAGAGTTCTTACTATAAATTACCTATAAATGTGCTTTTTTTTACCCCTTAAAAACCATAAGCAACAGCTCTAACTCAGACTGTCTCACCGGCATTGATAACCTGTCCAAACACTCGCTGCTTTATCAGGAGACGTTGTTGTATGTGTGGAGCAATACATTTTGGCCTAACGCACTCAATAGTGGCCTCCCCAACAGCCCGAGATGCTTTTCGAAACTGAAGTTATTGTGAGGATTCTTGATTTAAAATACAGTTATTATTGTTAGAAGTGATTGTATGTCATTGTGCTGGCTACAAACCAATAGTTTGTACAAGAGGACGAGCAGTGGGAGCTTTTCCTTTTCCTTAACTATTAAAGAACCTTTTAACAAAAACGAATGGATGGATAAAGTAACACTGGGGCCATGTGTCAAATTTCTCCTGGTAAAAGGACATTCAATTAAAAAAGGGTGTTGTCTTGAGATTAAAAGACCCTTTATCTGTAAGCTTCTAAATGCCTCTTTACTTGTAACGATATGTTTCAGAGGATCCATTCCCGCGTCTGTCTAATTATTGGTCTTTTACAACCACACCATTGCATTGTGACAGTATGTGTGTACGTGTATTTTTTGAGTGGGATTAAATAATTGTTGTTCATCATTCAATTGTGTTTTGTGTGCAAGAAACCATAGTAGTATGTATACGCTCAATTGAATACTTCCAAACAGTGTTGTTGTTGTTGTTTTTTTTTTTTTTAAACTCTTTCAACAAATTGTTGCCTTTTCCTCATGTCCTCTGTGTTTTTTCCATGTCCGTAATGAGCCAGCTGTGCATATGGCTCGTTCTATGCATACTCTGCCCTGTTTTTGTAAAAGGAATAAAACAGGAGTACAATTGCAATCGGCGGTTTTTATTTTTATTTGAAGCTTTTGTGGAAATGTCTTTTTTCCTAATCAGAATCCAAGTTCCTGGAGGCCATTACATTGGAGCCATTTGCTAGATTTAATAGCCTGCCGTAAAGTCTGCCTTAAATTAGTAAGGAGGGCAAAGAATCTCCTTAAGATGAAACTTCGGGAGCAATCAATACATCCATTTCCTACATCGGAAATGGACCTGGACGGGTCGCCAGTCCGTCACTGGGCCACATGGAAGCAAACAATCGCACACCCATTCTCTCCAAGGGGCAATCAAGAATTGCCAATGAACTTGAGAGGCTTTTTTTTTTTTGGGGTCGGTGTACACAGAAGGAACCCACATCTACTAGGGTTATAGTGTTATTTCTGTCATAACTTCTATCATTATCATTAGTATTAATATCATTGCTATTTTTCATCCAGTCTACGTGTTGCTGTGTTGGCTGCCTCTCTCCCCTCCCTCGGTCCTTCTCTCGCCCTCTCTCTCTTGCCCTCTCTTTCCCTCACCCCCAACCGGCCGAGGCAGATGGCCGCCCGCCCTGAGCCATGGTTCTGCTCGAGGTTTCTGCCTGTTAAAAGGAAGTTTTTCCTTGCCTGTGTCGCCTACTGCTTGCTCATGGTGGGAATTGTTGGGTTTCTGTAGTTAACTTCAGAGTAGGGTCTGACCTGCTCTGTCTGGAAAGCGCTGTGAGACAACTGTTGTTGTGATGTGGCGCTATATAAATAAAATTGAATTAAATCTACACGGGGAGAACATGCAAACGCAGAATGGTTCCCTCCCTCCCCCCCAGGACCCAGGATTCAAACAGGAAACTCTGTTGCTGTAACGTGACAGTGCTAACCGTGGATTGCTGGTCCATGCCAGCAACTTCGACGTCTTTGCTTCCTGTCGGTTCTCTTTCTAATCTGTCACATGGTCTTTCCCTCGTTGCCAGTTGCCCTTTTCACACCAGTCGCTAGCTAGGCTAGGTTTGATATCATTTGACTCGGTTTGATTGATGACAAAAACCAGGTCTATTATCGTCCCAGTATGTTATACATGGCCAAAGACATTGTTCAGTAAACCTACAATGTAATAATTAAAGGGCTGTTAGTGAATCCGATGTCTTTTTGGTGTATTTCTGTGTCACTATGGCAAAACCTGGCCCCTGGAGACAGCTACGATAGTAGAAACTAAGTCAGTTTTAGGTACTTTAACAGGGGTTTATGACTGTTCATAAATTCTATCATTGTAAAAACATCGCAGCCATGTTTATGCTGCTAGAATAGTCGAGGTATGTGGTTTCGTGTGTACCGTTACCTCTTTCTAAAGCACTGGGATTTGGGCTACCAGAGGAAAAAAGGGCTTGTTCCCCTTTAACACTTCTGTCCCACATCTTGTTTCACTGTTTCTAAGAAATGTGTCCTCGCCCTGATAGTTCAGGTGTGTGCCACATCCAGCAGTGTCAGACGTGGCGGCGGGGCTGTGAGAAGAACTTTCAGGCATCGAGATAAAGGTTTTATAAAGGCTTATCTTATCTGTAACTGTGTCGTGGTCGACGGGATCAATTTCCATTATGGACTGCGGCATGATGATAGGTACTGAATTTATACGAGTCCAGCCTAAGCTGAACTTTGTCTTTTGATCCACACGACGCTCGTATAAAATTTCATGCCAGCATTTGACTCACTTGTTGGCAAGGTCTGTGGATGGAGAAACACCATTCAGAGGGAAATGAATCACGGCAAATTGACAAAGACTTGTGCAATCCGGCAGCTTGTCTTTAACAGATTTCTAACCAGCAGATGTCAGCATGGACTAGTTTATATCTCCTCTCTGTGACTACCTGAAGCACAACAAACTCCCTGTAAACACAGGATTAATGTTATTAACGGCTAAGATGAAGCATAGAACTCTGAAGATCAGAACCCGATACAAGGGGTGTCACCACATGTGTTTGTGTGTCTACATAATAGTACAAAAGTTGACAGAAAATAAAGAGATTAACCCTTTAAAGCCTGATCCGAGAATAAAACAAAACAGAAAAATACTTTTTTGGGGGTTTGAATTCCTCATTTGGCCTATTACCAAAATATGTAAAAAGAAAAAACAGAAATACATTTTTGATATTAATAATTTATTACTATGCGATAAGTCCAGATTATTTTTTGTGTAGTCTTCTGCCCCCTGTTATCAGGTATATTTGATTGTGTACAATAGGATTTTGAGTAAAGTTTTTACCATTAAATTATGCAAAAGGTGTCAGACGCAAAACATTTCAGAAACCGTACGTATCAGATATGATAGATTTGGCATTACGGGGTCAAATGACAGGTTTATATGTAATGTTTTTTCTTTACAAGAGCAGGAATACAAGGATCCAGAAGTGACTAGTTTATGGCACCATACATCCAGGCTGGAAAATACACCTAACACGTGGGTCATTTTCTGGAGCGAACAGTGACACTTTGTCATCCCATTTGCTCTGGATGAATCAGCTTGACTCACGCGCCACATGTATTTATTTTGTGTCAGACTGCAAAGGGAGGAGTGTGTATCTGAAGCAGTCTCCCAACAGCACAAGTGTTCTTGGAAGTGGGTCAGAATTC